TTAATGGAAAGTAGGGATCGTTGGTTATTTGTAGAATTACTACAAGAAGTATCCAAAACAAAAGAATTGCTGCAATAAAAAATACATAAACAAGTAAACATACTAGTTGGATAGATTTTAAAACGATTTTCAATCCATACTTTGGTTGACTACTTCATTTAGCTACCACAACGGTATGTCTGCGGACTTACAACGCTAGAATCCGGGTTTCGATACCCGTTGTGGGCAGAGCACAGATAGTCCATGATAGAGCTTTGTACTTAATTACAAATAGACAATAAACAATCGTTTAGCTATACGGATCTATCACTTTACTTGTTTGTGTACTTTTTATTGCAGCATTTATTGTGTTTTGGTTACTTATAGCAATTCTACAAATAACCGACGATCCCTACTTTCCCTAAAAATTTTATTTTTTTTCTATTTATGATTAATAAATACAACAACAAATTGTTGAGTATAAATTATGTTTTTACAATTCTAAAATTCATGAGAAATTTATTGTTTATTTTTGTATAGCTTGTTTGTTTTTCGGTTTTTTACACGCAGTTACACAATGGGTTACCTGCTTTGTGTTCGCTAAGGGAACCAATGCTGAATTCTAGTGATTAGAAATTTCAGTTTACCGCTAAGTCACCAGGAAACATTTTATGTCCCCCAGTGGCACAGAGGTATGTCTGCGGACTTACAACGATAGAATCCGGGCTTAGATACTCATGGTGGGCAGAGCACGGATAGCCCATTGTGTAGCTTTGTGCTTAATTCCAAACAAACAAACAGAAACATTTTACAACTTGTAAATTGTGACTTACGATGTTAGTACAGCTATCAGAAAGTTAAGACAGATCACAAGTTAATATATACCCAACATTCGTCAAGCCTTCAAAATATAACCAGGATAATATAACATCATGCTAAACATATTCATAACAGCCAAAGTACAAGTTAAATGTCATATCTACATAAAATGACGCAAATTCTAAAATGTAAATATCAAAAATCAACAAATTCCCATCTTAATGAACAAAATCAACTTATTTTTGACCGTTTTAAAATGAGGTAGAGTGAATTGAAAGTTTATTCATGCTTCTTCAGTGAACTAATAGAAAATTATGTAATGTAATCTCAGACAGGCAGCACAACATATTATTTTAAATTTTTGTAGTCATTACAAAGAACAGAAAGTTGTGTGTGTGAAAGAACTAGCTTTTCTTAAAACACACACATATATATATATATATTTATAATAATGTTCGTTATTTTCGATTCTACGGTAATATAGCGCTGAAATCCATTCATG